AGCTGAGCCATCCTGCCACCTGTTGGCAGCTCAGCAGCAGCTCAGCTCAGCCCTGGCATCGAACCGCTGTTGCTCAGAGCTCAAATTCTTGAGTGAGCTCTTAACCAACTGAGCCACTGGGCTGGCAGAGCTGGATCTTTCTTGGAGGATAAAGCAGATTTAGCTAGGGAGGCGGGTGGGGGAAGCATTTCATTGGGAGAAAAGGGTAAGGGCCAAGATTTAGAAGTTCAAAGTGTGACCCAGCAATTCCGCTCCTAAGTATATACCCAAGAGAAATGACAACATATGTCCACACAAAAACTTGTACATAAATGTTCATTGCAGCACTATTCACAATAGTGAAAAGGTAGAAACAACCCAAATGTCTATCAAAGGGTGAATGGATACACAAAATGCAGCATATCCATACAATGGAATAGGCTTTCACCACAAAAAAGATACATGCTATAACATGGATGAATTTTAAAAACATTATGCTAAGTGAAAGAAGCCCGACACAAAAAAAAAATCACACAGTATTTGATATCTTTCATATGAAAGTTCAGAATAAGGAACTCTGTAGAGACAGAGAGTAGATTAGTGGTCCCTTAGGGCTGGGAGAGGAGATACAGGGATGATGACTAAAGGTTATGGGGTTTCTTTTGGAGGAAATAAAAACATCAACATTGTGGTGACAGTTGCACATATATGTGGGCATACTAAAAACTGCTGTACAGTTTAAATAGCTGAACTGTATGTGAACTATATCTCAATAAAGGTGTTTTTTAAAAAGCAACGAAAGTACAAAATGTGTTCAGGGAAAGGTGTAGACAGTTTGGAATAAGAGCTTTCTCTTAGGGGAGTGTCGGCAGATAAAGCAGAAGAGACAACGTGATGGAGCACCCTGAATTCCAGCCTAACAAGTTTCATTTTTATCTTTAATAGGGGAACCTTGAAAGGTGTTTGATTATGGGAGTGGTTTGTTGAAAGTTACATTTTAGGAAAACAGATCTAATAGCGGTGTGTCCCGAATGGGAGGAGCAGGGAGCTCTGTTTGCAGCTGCCACAATAATACCTGTGTTAGACAGGGCTGCGCTCATGGCTCTGAAACCTTTCAGCAGCATCTTTCCTTGAAAAAGAAAACCTTCCCTTCGGTGATCACTGCTATGCAGGGAGAGGTCTGGTGGCTTCATGCCACATCCAGCAGGACTTAAGAGATTGCCTCTTGTTGTCTTCCCCAGGGAGGAATCATGGGCATTGAGATCCACTGGGATTGCAACCTGGACAGTTGGTCCCATCGCTGCCGTCCAAAATACAGTTTCCGTCGCCTTGACGACAGGACAACCAATGATTCCTCGTACATAAGTCCAAGGAGTCCTGGCTACAACTTCAGGTAACAGCGCTCCAGGTCAGAATGGCCACCTTTGGCTCCCCAGGGACCTTTCAGGCGCAGCTGAATTGCATCATCTCCAGCAGTCAGTCAGGCTAGATTTGGTTCCCAAGGCAACAAGATAAATGTAAAGGACTTCCTCTCAAAGCTAGATGGTGATTGAATTTTTGTATGAATTTTGTTTTCTTTTTAATCCTTAAAGAGATGCACACTCTTTGTAAAACAAACAAACAAAAATTTGAAAACAGAAAAAAAGAATAGAAAAGAGGATGAAAGTCACCTACAATTCCTCTACCCTGAGATAACCGATAACCCTCTGGTGAATTTTCCTTGGTGTAACCAATTCTTTCGTGAGGTTTATATGAGGTCACATCGCAGTTATAATTGGGTATTCCTATGGCTGTATTTCTCACTTGTGGGATTTATATTTGGTTCTTTCTCAAAGCCATCTAGTATCGTTTCAGTGAAGCCCATTCTTACCTTACGGATCCTATTTCCTTGGTCCCTTCTACTGTACAACCCCTTTCACACTGACCTATCACCTATAGCAACGTGGATGGAATTTCTGCATTCCTCATTTGTGAGGCTTTGGGGTATCTGTTGGTGGGCTGCAGCTAGAATGATCTGTGCAAAGCTGTGTGTGCCGTGGGACATGAAGGCATTTTTTGGGGGGTGATTATGTAATTTTGTAGTTGTTCCCTGCCAGGACTGTCTGACATCTATCAATTATGACCAGGTTTTAGTTTAATTTGTGGGCACTGGATGTCTTCAGCCTGCTAAAAAGCTCCCATCCCTGTTCTGTTGCCATGTAGGGCATCTGTAACCTTAGCTCCCTTCCCCGGAAGTGTGTTAAAACTCTAGCTCCTCAGATACAGATCTGGCCTGGGCACGCCTAAGGGGTCACATGGTTTCAGTCCCCACTCACCACTTATCTCTAGCACCTAGAAAATGCCCTTTTTTGTTTTGAGGTCAGTGATATATTGATACGATTTTCAAAATATTTTATCTTGCACTTCTTTGTGTATGGGGTGAGAGGTGGTGGGCTTCCTGCACTAGCTCAGGCTGCCATCTTGATTGAATGTCCTTTTGGTAAGAACAGTTTAAGGAGTCCTGATACCCTGGGCCATGTTGCTTCCTCACTGCAGTCTTGTCTCACTTTTAAGGTTCTTTGCAGTATATCGTATATGCTTCTGGCTTCTGGACTTCAACCCTATGAGTTCACTAGAATCCTGGTTCATTTTCACTCTTAAGCTGGCTGGAGCTTGGTTTGGTGCTCATCTACTCGTTTTGACCCTCTGCACAGTTCACTCCTCTGATCCTGACCTGACTTTTGCCCAGTGGTGACCCCGTGCCATCCTAACTTAGTTTCCACATTACCGCCAATGTCTGCATTGTTTTTTCAGCCTGTTCCTACAACTCTGTCCCAGCACTAACTTGGCCTTCAGTTGGAGGCTTCTAACACAGTTTCCATGACTTATCATTGCCTATGGGAGCCAGGCTGGTTTCTGTAACTGTGGTGATGGCTTGTCATTTTAAGCCCGCGTTCCAGGAACAAAGTAAACTTATGCTGTTCCCTTTTCAGAAAGAGTTGCCAAGTTGCCACATTCCCTAGAATAATAGTTATACAATTTGCCTATGAAGCTGGTAGGAAATTGATATTGGCATTCCTCATGTCTTCATTTATCAAACATATGTATATTGAAGAAAACAACTATTGGTTGCTCTAATGAGTATATATTGGTAAACAAAATAGATAAAGTGATTTCATGGAGCTTATATTCTAGTAGGACATAAATATAAGAACATTATAAGTACAATATATGACAAAAGTATAAGTAAATAAAAAATCCCAGCAAGAAACATCATTAATCATCAAGGAAATGCAAATTTAAACCACAATGAGATACAACTACACACCCACCAGAACAGCTAAAATTTTAAAAAACTGGCCATTCCAAATGTTTACACATCCCAGTGGGAGTGCAAATGGTACAACCAACATGAGAGGACTGTCAGGAAATTTCTTATAAAGTTCAACATCCATCTACCCTATAATCCAGAAACCTCACTCTTAGGTATTTACCCAAGAGAAATGGAAACCCATGTCCACACAAAGATTTGTACACGAACATTCACAGCAGCCTTGGTTCATAAGAGCCCCAAACTGGAAACAACCCAAATGTCCAACAACAGGTGAATGGAGAAATAAATTGTGATATGGTTATATAATAAAACACTACTTAGTATAAATTTAAAAAGGAACTAACTACTGATACATGCAACAACATAGACAAATCCCACAGGTATTATGTTGAGTGAAAGAAGCCAGACCTAAATGAGTACACATTACTTTAGGATTCCATTTAAACGAAGTGTAAGAACAGGCAAAACTTACCTATGATGATAAAAGACAGAACAGTGGTTGCCAGGTTGGGGAGTAGGGATTGGAAGTGGGGGCGGGAATAGGAACTCATTGGAAAGAATTTTCTGGGATGATGGGATGTTCTAGATCTTGATGGGGTATAGGTTACACAGGGGATTTGTCAAAACTTATTGAACTGAAACCCTAGGACTTGTGCATTTTATTGTATGTAATTTATACCTCAGGAGTACAAACAAACAACTCCAACAAGGCCATTTCAGATGATGATAAATGCTGTGAAGAAAATCAAACAAGATACTGTGATGGTGGGTGCCCAATTGGAGATGCGACCAGGGAGGGCCTCTCCAAGCACGGGGTGACACTCCTGCAGACATCATGTGCTTTCCTGAGGATTGTGCTTTCTTAGTTAAGAAGAGAAACTGTACACGCAGGAGCCCATGTTAGAGGAATCAACTTGCAAAACATTTTGCCATCTCCTAATACCTTCGGAATTAATGGTCTAGACCAGTGGTTCTCAAAGTGTGGTCCCCGGCACCAGCATCACATGGGAACTTGTTAGAAATGCAAATTCTCAGGCTCTGCCCCCAGACCTACTGAATCAGACACTCTGGGGGATGATCTTCACAAGCCCATCTGGTGCACACTCACGTCTGAGAACCACTGATCACGTTTGAGAACCTTGATACTCAGAATGTGGCCCTGGAACCAGCAGTATGGGCCTCACCTGGGCACTTGTTATCATGCAGAATCACAAGCCCCACTCTCAACTTACTGAATGAGAAGCTGCATTCTAACAAGGCTTCCAGGAGATTCATGTGCACATTAAAGTTTAAGTAGCACTGGCCTAAGATATATCATCCAGCACCCCAAAGTACTTCCTTTTTAGATGTTACTTAAAGCAACCTCATAAACTGGCAAGCAGCCTTCAACTATGTTTTTATTTTTGTTTTTGGCCTGCATGTTTGCAAAGTTGGGACATTCTACATAAAAATCTAGACTCCCTGCTTTTTTTGAAAAATTAAACTATAATATTTGGAAAAAAAGAAATTAAACTGTTTGACAACTCTGGGTTTATAACCTACACAGCAGAACTCAGCCAGAGCTATCAGTGGTTTCCTTTAGAAGGGGCATGTTTTTTGGTTTGCCACAGTCCCCACCACTCTTTATTGCCTGATACCTGGCCCGCATGACCCATTTCTGTTATCTGCCAGGCTTTTGTAGGGATTTGAGTTTGAGACCCTCGACCAAAGGCTGGCTGAGATCAAGACACCAGACAGTTTTTTTGTGTTTTTTTTTACCTCCTTTAGGTCGCCATAGTTTCATCCAGGGCTTTGAGACCAGCTCTGAGTTTAGGTAACGTTTTTGATCGTCCCCTGCTGCTCTACTGAGTAGGCTTATGGCCATCAGCAAGAAGAGAGGATGGGATCAGTAGTCCCTGGACTGTCCTCAGGGGCTGCTTTTTTTTAAGCAATCAGAAGAAGCATGCAGGGCAATGTACCAACCAGATGTTAGCAAACGTCCTTCAAGTTGTGGAGCCAAGCCTAAGAACATTAGCTCCTGGAGAGATCTGAGCTTTCTGAAGAACAGAAATTGTTATGATGTTGAAAGTCTTTTAGAACAAAGTCTTGAGCATTATGTTGTGTAGAATGAGCACCAGAAGAAATCTTTGGCCAAAATAAACTGTCCAAATCTGACAGGTAAAACTGGACAAGTTATTTTCAAATAGCCACACGAAAGAAAAGGTAATTGCAGGTGATATGAGGTATATGAGGAAACAGAACTTTCTAAAACATAGGAATTTAAAGGAGTTGATCACAAGACGGAATTTTGTCCTTTACCAAAAGGTGTCCTTGGCAAAAGGTGCTTATTAGATGAACATATGATTCAGTTTATTTACAGCATGTGTAGGCGGAGCAGACCCACACAGAGGGCCCAGTGCACTTCTCTGGTTCAGAATGGGTATGTGATTGTATTAGTTCCTTGTGCCTGCTGTGACACATGACCATATACTCGGCTTACACAACAGAAATTTATTCTCTCACAGTTCTAGAGGTCAGAAGTCCAAAATCCAGGTGTCCACAGGGACACGCTCTCTTTGAAGTCTCTAGAGAAGGATCCTTCCTGCCTCTTCCAGCTCCTGGGGGCTCTAGGCGTTCCTTAGCTTGTGGCTGCATCACTCCAATCTCTGCCTCTATCTTTACATGGCCTTCTCCTCTGTGTTTGTTTCAACTCTCCCTCTCCTTTCTCTTGCAAGGACCCCAGTCACTGGATTTAGGGACCATTCTAAATTCAGGATGCTCGCATCTTGAGACCCTTAACTACATCTGCACACTCTATTTCCAAATAAGGTCACACTCACAGGTACAGGAGTTACGTACGTGGGTGTATTTTTTGGAGGGGGGCTATTTAACCCATTCATTATGGTGTGCAAAAAAACATCCCTGCCCATGGCCTACTGTTTCTCAGAGTGCGGCCCACTGAACACCTGCACCAGAACCACTTGGTACCTTTCCTGGAAATACAGGTTCCTAGAAACCCGCAGACCCTCTGAAACCACCCTTTGAGAGAAAGGCCCAGGAATCTGCATTTGAACACACTTCCCAAGTGATTCTTGCCCTCAGTTTGAGAACCACTGTACCAAAACCTGAAGGCAGAAATTCAAGTATTTACTGCATCATGTTAACCTTCCCGGTCAAACCATCTTTCATAAAGAGATAATGCACCCCCTGGGCATGGAGTGATGGTTGCTTGCTCTGTGTTTTAAAAAAACAAGTCACTCAATAGACAGCAGAAGAAGGAACTGTCATGGAATGAGAACAATCAGATGTCAAGATATTGAAACCCCTCTGGCCGGAAACGCATGCCTGAAAATATCTAACACATCTCAACGTCAGATTGTGTTAAAAAAAAAAAAAAAGCGTTTCAGATGTTCCCTTCTACATTGCGGCACAGCGTCTGTCTCCTGTTTTCTTTCTCCCTCTCACCTGTAAATAGACTGCAAATTAATAACTCGGAAAGAAAATACATACCCTTACCTAAAAACAGCCATCAAGAGGTGGTAAGACGGAGAGACAGATTTAACTTTCTTGAGGCATGTGGTTTAAGCCTCCCTAACTATTCATGAAAAACAAACGCCACTTTTCCTTACTACGGCACTGGTGAGAGATGCATATTTGGGGTACTGTGATTTGGGCCCCGGTCTTCACATATAAAGGTGACTGAGTGATGACACGGAGAGGTGAATGCCTTTTAAATGAGAATTTTATTACACTCCCAAAGAGGACGAGCAGGCGAGCACACACAGGGCCACAAAGGGAAGCACCGGGTTTGGTCAGGCAGTTAGCCAGAGCAAGGGGAAAGCCAAGCCCAGAGCCTTGTGGGAAAGACAAGACAGGGCAGGGAAAACAGCTTAGGATTGGCTAGTTTGAGTCATGTGAACAGGCTCTGGGCTATAGGCATGGTCTGGTACCTGGTCCTGGGTGATTTAAGGCAGTGTGAGAGTTAGATCAAAGAGGTGGTTGGGTCCGAGGGTCTGTAACATGATTTTCATGCACTTGCAAAAGCTGGGTTGCAGGGGACACGTAAACAACTTTAGTTGTGAGTTCGGCCCTGTGATGATGGTTGCCAAGTAGACAAATACAGAATCTATGAAAATAGAGTTAGAACAGACGCTGAGGGGCACCTGTCCCCATCCAGTGATTAGTATCTAAGATTCACCCCCCCACACACACACACTCCCTCCCCCTCAACACTTGGTTCTAGAAAACCTGTTTCCCTCTTAAGGAATAATCCGATTGCTTAAAGTTTTTTCATTTCTCTGCTTTTTGTTAATCCTGTTTTGGTTAAAAATTGTTCCTTTTAATCTTCAACAAAACGCCATTTTTCATCCCTCCGTGACGGCGTAAGTGGAGGAGGTGATGTGCGGAAGTGGCGCTTCCGTTCCAGGTGGTCCCGGGGAGTAATCCCTAAATTTGGATTGTGTTGTTCCCTCTGCCAACCACCGCAGAGCCAGAAGATGGATAAGGAAGACCAGATTAGCTATTGTTTGGGTTTCTCTTTTCCTAAAATACCAGCACTTTCCGACAGATCTTTATAAATATGGATCCTTTTCCTCCAACAGATACGCCAAGTACTATAAGGAAAACAATGTTGAAAAGAGGACCCTGATCAAAGTCTTTGGGATCCGTTTTGACATCCTGGTTTTTGGCACCGTAAGTCTCTGTTCCCAGCCACGGGCACCTCCATTCCTACGACCCTGTCCTCATGTTTGCTGTAGTGCCTCCAGGGGTGAATGCTGGGTGATAGTCATTAGCTGGCACTGTGCATCTCACTTGTGGGATAAGGAGACGGGGAAGAGGTGTCCTTGGGGTTCTGTCCATGAACAGGTCATCTGAGGAGTACAAGAGTGAGACGGGAGAAAAAAAAATCTAATAGTCAACTTTAAAAATAGCCTGATGCTTAAAAAAAAAGGAGAAAGAAATCCCTCTGTAAAATACAGAAATACAGTAGTAACAGAATCCAACTCATATTGCCTTAGGGGAAAAAAAAAAAAGGTTTTTTGTTTGTTTAGTTCACGTAACTGAGAAGTCCAGGGGCAATTTCAGGCTTCAGACATGGCTGGATCCAGGTCCTCCAACATCATTGTCAGGAATGTGCCTCCCTCAACGTCTTACGTCTGTTTTCCTCTGCTTTGGCCTTGCCCTCAGCTGTCCACCTCTACGTGGTCGTGTCAGGCGGATCCTTATATTTACCAACCTCAACTAATCACTGGGACCAAGGTCACGCCACACTCTAAGTGGCTGGTCTTGGAGCAGCCCTGAATCAGCCCCTCCCCCAAAACTACAAGGACCAAGTGTTAGTACACACAGACCCAGGGCAAGGTCCGGGAACTGAACATCTACCTCTGTAAGCAGAGGGCAGGAAAAGCCCTAAGGAAGAGGCAGACCACTCCAGCCTGGTAATGAACAGAGTTCATTAGGGGAATTTACTACTTCCGAGGTGCGCCTGGGGCGGCTGCAACACAAAATGGATCCCTGCGCCACTTAACAGGCATCAAAGAATTACGTAGGGCAAAACGGGGAGAGTCACAGGTACAAGAATGCTACCAGGTACGGGAAATTACATGCTTGACCCGGTCAGGGCAACGGCCTGTTCCAGGAACCAGCAGGTAGCAGGGGACAGGGAGGGGTGCTGATTTATGTCAGGATGAACATGGATTACCATCAGACAGTCTCCAACGGGGGATTGCGGTAAGCAATATCCATTCTGGCCCAGGGCCAGCTCTCGAGTCAGACAGTGGTCACATCATAGAACAGTCTTTCCTCCACACCGAGTATGCACAGAGATAGTTCTCCAAAGGAAAACTGGGGTGCTGGCTCCAGAAGGAGGAGATGCTGGGCATGTAAAAATCAAGATGCCCATGACACCTTGTCCGACAGCATATTATTTACGTAACATGGTGATAAGCAGCACAAGAATCAATGAGCTTTCACTGAGTGAGTAAAAAGACCACTGAGAATAAAAGCCACAGGGACGCCTCAGGGAAAAGTTGGTGCAGACATTCCTTCCCTCTATTTCCAAAGCAATCTCCAACCACCTTCAGCGAAAGCTGCCTGAAGCTCTCACTGTGTGTGGAAAAACAACCTTCCGTGGTTCTCCGCTCAGTGTGTGGGTTCCAGTGCTTCTCTGTTTAAAACAGGCACGTTTTCAAGCACCTCTCGGAAGGCAGAAACAGGACGATGAGAATCACATTGTCAGTCTCTGCAGTTTCTATGTGAACACCTTGGACGCAAGTACAAAAGTCACAGCGCCAGACACCTCCCCACCCCCACCCCCACCCCCTTGGCTGGAACTAAGAATTACACGTTGGAACAAAAGAACATTGCTCTGAATTTCAGCCAAGTAACCTCTCCCACTCTGTTCTCAGGGAGGAAAACTTGACATTATCCAGCTCATCGTGTACATCGGCTCAACCCTCTCCTACTTTGGTTTGGTAAGGCATTGTCCTTCTCATGCTTTATGGAAATGGTTTGGGGGGAAAAAAAAACTTTTACTAACACTGCGCTTGTCGGGGTTCTTCGCAGGCCACTATGTTCATTGACTTCCTCATCAACACTTACTCGAGTACGTGCTGCCGAACCCACGTGTATCCCAGTTGCAAGTGCTGCGAGTGCTGTGCGGTCAATGAGTACTATTACAGGAAGAAATGTGAGTCCATTGTGGAGCCAAAGCCGGTAAGGCTCACTGTGTCTGTGAGACACCCAACACCCCAGCAGTCTGTTAGATTGCTGAGAAATGGGCAACAATAAGGCCAGAATCACAGGTCTGGTCCCGTGGCGGACACATCTCCGGACTCTACCCTGATCTACCATCTTGCAGGTGAATCCTTTGGTCTTAGGGAAGAATAGAAACAAAAATGGAGAGGCAAGAGATGGGGAGAACAAAGTTTTAGGTTCCAGGACTTGTCAGTTTTATTAAATTGGGACAGTCAAAAAAATAGCATGATGACTTTGGACAACAATTCGCAGCATCTAGTAACACTTACATGGGACATAACGTAGAGCCTGGCATTCCCGCTTCTCCAGACCTGCCCTAGAGCAACACTCACACGAGTACCCAAGTAGTACACATGCACAACACGTCCATTACGGCACTGTCTGTAACTGAAGAAAGAGCATTCAGCCAAATGTCCAATAGGCGGAACAGTGCATTAAACTATGATAAATCCATAGCAAGGCATGGCAGGCACCAGGTTAAAAGGATGAAGGAGATGATAATAATAATAGGAAACGTTTGTATAGCACTTTGAAGTGATATATATATATATATATATATACATATATATATATATATATATAAATAATAACTCACTGCATCCTCACAACAACCCTACAGATAGGTGCTATTATTATCTCTTTCTATAGATGGGGACATTGAGGCACAGGAGGAAGTTTGAACAATTTGTCCAAAGTCATAGAGTTTGTAAGTGGTGGGGCTGAAATCCCAGCTGAAGCAGGCTGGTTTCAGAAGCCATGTTCATCACCACTATGTTACAGGTACTGGCCTGAGCAAATATCCAAAAGAGTTTCCTGAGGGGAAAAAAGCAAACTATAGAACAACATATGTGGTACGAGATATAGGTTAAAAAACAACTGCACATGTAAACGAATGCTATGTATTTTCAACATGTGTGTTACATACGTACATATATACACAAACATACATATATATTCTCTGTATTTTCTATATGTATTATACACACACACTTGTGTGTGTGTAGGGGGAATATATGTATACAAAAAGGCATTGGACACACACAAAAAAGCGATAACAATGATTCCTTCTGAAAAGAAGCCTAAGATGGGGGACTCGCCAAGGGAATTTTAGCTCATCTGTATTGTTTTGATTGTTTAATGTGGACTTTACTAAGCAGGTTCTCTACACTTGACTTCCCCCAATCAACGCACAATCTCTGGTCCTTAAAAACGACAAAGAGGGTTTCTTTGTCTTCCCCTGACCCAAGAGCATTACTGTCCTTTGCCAGCAGCTGAATGCACCATTCATTGTCCATTGTACATGTGTACACAACTGGAAATCAAAGTTCATCTTTGCAACTAAAAATCATCACTATTTCATGGCCCAGGATGGGGTGAAATTTAATGAAAATATAAATACTATAAGTAGCAATAGTATAATTTTCTGAAGATATTCAATCTAGAGTAGCTGAAACAGAGGAAACACAGCAAAGATATTTTCTATAGCTCTTGGGGGACCTAAAAACATTAGACATTAGGCTGTGGATACTCAGAGTCCACAAATTAAAGTGCACAGGGTTCCGTTTCTGATTTTCCTTTAGACTCCAAAATCATACATTCTTGGTTAGCAAGAGATTTGGGTTAACTTGTTTAACAGTTTGCCATTTGGTATATGGGAATAACACTTGCCTTTAGATATGTTCATGTATACAATTCTTGACAATGCTATACAAAAATAGGTAAATGTTTAAACCTTCTTTCCGTAGACGCTAAAATATGTGTCCTTTGTGGATGAACTCCACATTAGGATGGTGGATCAGCAGCTACTTGGGAGAAGCCTGCAAAATGTCAAAGGCGAAAAAGTCCAAGTAAGTTAAAACATGTAGTCGTGTGTGTGTGTGTGTGTGTGTGTGTGTGTGTATTTAAGAAAACTTACTATTCAATATAAAAATATGTACAAATCACAGTCAAATTTTAACAAAATAAACATATGGAATCAGCAAACCAGCACCCAGATTTTAAAAAGTGGGTATTATTACTAGCAGAAGTCCCTTTCATGCTTCTACCCAATCACCACTCTCCCTTAAAAGTCATCATTATCCTGTATCCAAAGATTAATTTGATCTCATCTAGAATTTAAAAAAAAAATTTTCATTTATGGTTGACATTCAATATTATATTCGTTTCAGGTGTACAGCACCATGGTTACCTTTTCTAGAATTTTATAAAATTTGAATCCTATAGTATATACTCAGTATATATATTCTGTTGTAGGTCTGCCTTCTTTCACTCAACATTATTTTTGGGAGAATCATTCATGGTTTTGTGTATATCAACAGTTCATTCTCGTTGCTGTATAATTTCTGTTTGACAAATATCCAATTTATTTATCCCTTCTATTGCTGGTGGACATTTGGGTAGTTGCCAGTTTGGGGCTCATACCAGTGATGGTAAACATATGGCACCTAGCAGTGGCATGGCTGAGTCACAAGGCAGGCATATGTTTGGCTTTAGCAGACACTACCACACCATTCTCTAAGCGGCTGTTCTAATTCGCACTCTCCCCAGCAGTTCTGGCTGTTGGGCATCTTCACTAACGGATCCGTTTTCTACAGTTGCCATAATAAATTACCACCAAGTATCTTAAAACAACAAAAATTTACTGTCTCGCAGTTCTGGACGCTAAAAGTCTGAAGCCAAGGTGTGCTGCTGTGAACATTTATGTACAAGGACTATTGATTTTTAATGTACTTGACTCAGACTTTGGTGAATGAAGCTATATGTCCCTAAGAACAGACATTTCTAGATGATGGCAATTATGGCAGCTTCTCTTGGAGCATAACAAACAGATGCGTCAGAAGAGGGAGCCTGGAGGGAAAGGAGAGAGTGGAGTGAAGTCAGCAACTATTTACTATCTCCTATGTGCTGGGTACTGTCTGCCCTAGGCACTGGGGATGTGAAAATAAATAAAGCAGACAGGGCCCCTGCTTTCATGCAGAGGGAGAGTCATCAAGTAAACATGGTGATGAGTACAAGGAAGAACGTAAAGGCTCATGATGCAGTAAGACAGCGGTTCTCAACCTGTGGGTCGCAACCCCTTTGGGGGTCCAACGACCCTTTCACAGGGGTCGCCTCAGACCATCAGAAAACAAAAAGATATTTACATTACGATTCAGAACAGTAGCAAAATTACAGTTACAGAGTAGCAATGAAAATAATTTTATGGTTGGGGGTCACCACAACATGAGGAACTGTATTAAGGGGTCGCGGCATTAGGAAGGTTGAGAACCGTTGAGTAAGAGAATGAGCTGGGAGGAGGCCGACTACCTGGACTGGGTGGTCAGGGCAAGACCGTCTCTTTGAAGAGGTGGTATCTGCATCCAAGTCTGCTATTCCGAACTACACTTTCTAAATATGTACAGTGGAGATAAGGACCCGTATCTCATGAGGTTCTTCGAAGGCTTAAATGAGACAATGCTTGTAAAAGACTATCACCGTCCTGATACATGTTTAATGAATGATAGCTACTAGTATTGATGCAATAGTAAATTTTATAAGTTAATAATAAAATGAAAGAACCTAGAACCCTAGGGGCTGTCCCTGCTGATGGCTTTGGAAACTTGACTTTTTCAGAGACCCTTGATGGACTTCACACTGTTGTCCAGGCTGCCGCTGTCTCTCCAGGACCCACGCCCCATGCCAGGACAACCAGAGGAAATCCAGCTACTTAGTGAAGCGGCGACTCCGAGGCCCAGCAATAGCCCTGGTTGGTGCCAGTGTGGAAACTGCCTCCCATCCGAGCTGCCCGAGCGCCGCCGATGCCTGGAGGAGCTGTGCTGTCGGAAGAAGCCAGGTGCTTGCATCACTACCTCCGAGCCATTCAGGAAGCTCGTTCTGTCCCGAGGGGCCCTGCGGTTCCTCCTGCTGTACCAGGAACCCCTGCTGGAGCTGGACGCAGACTCCACCAACAGCCAGCTGCGGCACTGTGCCTACCGGTGCTATGCCACCTGGCGCTTTGGCTCCCAGGACCTGGCCGACTTCGCCATCCTGCCCAGCTGCTGCCGCTGGAGAATCCGGAAAGAGTTTCCCAAGAGTAACGGCCAGTACAGTGGCTTCAAGAGTCCTTACTGATGCCCTGTGCTTGTAACAGCAACTTTGCTTGCACTTTGAGCTTCACCTGCAAAGATCTGTGTCCAGATTTTCAGACAAAGGGAAATGTGCTTTCCTCTGCTATAGCTCTATGTGTGTCAGAGCACAGAGACCTGGTTACACACACACACACACACACACACACACACACACACACACACACACCAGAATCCCTCAGCACGGACCAAAAGTCAGGAGATTCAGGTGTCTGTCTCGATTCTGTCCCCAGGGAGTTGTGTGATTCCCAGGCCTTGAGCCTCTGTACCTCAGTCACCTTCTTATCCAATCTACTATATCACAGAGGTATTGGAGGAAAAACTGAGAGTATACATGAACTTCCTTGTTGATGCATAAAGAATTACATGAATACAAAGCAGCTCATTATGAGGTCAGACTAGGATAACGGCCAAACTACTGTATGAACAAGCCCTTTGGGTCCTGGTTGGAGAGTGTGGAGAATCAAAAGTGGCCACAAATTCTTTGGCACTTGTCCCTCAGGCCCTGAGGGTTATGTCTCCTCCCCTCGTGTCTGGGCGGCTCTGATTGCTTATCCAATCGTGGAAGTGACACTGTGTCAGCTTCAAGGTCTCGGTCTTAAGAGGCTGGCAGCTTCCACTCCCTGTCCCTTGACACTCTTGCTGTGAAGGAAGGCAGCCTCCGGGAAAAAGCCGGACTGTCCAGAGACCGCCCTGCTGTGAGGAAGCCCACGCAGCCACGTGCAGAGGAGAGATGCCCGGCCAGTCCCCAGCTTTCACACCATCCAAGCCCAGTCGCCAGATGCGGGAGAGAAGACGCCTTCAGCTGATTCCAGAGCCTGCTAACATATGACTGCAACTGCATGAGACACCCCAAGTGACAGCTGCCCAGTGAACCCACAGAACAAAAATGTTCTTTCAAGCCACAAGTTCTGGGTTGTTTGCTACACAGCAACAGATAACTGAGACAAGAGAGCAGGCCTGACTCGTGGGGCCACAGACTCAGCCCATACCTTCTTCCCTGGTTCTAAGGTTCTTAGGAAGTTTGGAGCACCCCTGGAGCCCCTGAGGAACCTAGGTTTCTATTGGGCAGTTCTAGGAGGGCTGCAGACCAAATCAGGTAATGCACCAGCCCAGCCCTGAAATCCCATCA